GGTTTTCTAAATTCCATTCTGACGAAAGCTAGCTATGTTCCGAAATCAGGTCAATTCCTGTAACTAAATGAGAAGGGAAAGAGAGCTGTTACAGTCCCACGTTCACTGGTCGGATCCATATCTGGGTTATATTTGAAAAGTTGTCTATGCACCAATCACAAAATCAATTTCTTGGTATCTCCTTAATTATTTTTATTAAGGAGGGACACGTGGGGCACTCGGTAGCGTAGTTGGTTGAGGCACTATGCTACAAGCAGGTAGGTCGCGAGTTCTATTCCCGATGAGGTTATTGGATTTTTCTTTTGACACGCGGTAGCGTAGTTGGTTGAGGCACTATGCTACAAGCCGGAAGGTCGCGGGTTCAAGTCCCGATGAGATCGTTGAATTTTTTTTCAATTGACCTAATCCTTCCGGGCGCACTATGGCCCTGGGGTCGTCTCAGCCTCTAACAGAAATGAGTACCAGGAATTAATTAAATAATTTTTCTGGGGAGTAAAGCGCGGCCGGCGCGTAAGGCTGACAACCTTACCACCATCTTTGAGCCGATTGCCTAGATAATGTGGGACCCTCAACATCTCACAACCCTATCGGCCTTCACGGCCTGTTACAAGAATAGCTTTACTTTACTTTTACGTAATCCTTCCAGCCACAATATGGCCCTCGGGTCGACTCAGGCTCTAGCAAAAATGAATACCAGGAATCTTCCCGGGGGGTGGGGGTAAAGGGCTGCCTGCACGGAAGACTGACAAACTTACCGCCAACTGTGAACCGATTGTCTAGAAGCTGTGGCACCCTCGACGTCTCACAACCCTATGGAACTTCATGGCCTGATAAAGGGATAGCTTTACCTCTTTTATAGAGCAATGTATAAGAGGTATACTGGACGTAGGAATGAAATACCTAGTTAAACAAAATTTTTTGTCTTTTAATTATAGAAGGCATAGGACTTGACTTGCTAAGGAAATGAAGATTATTACCAGAATATTATTAAATATTTGACAAGTATAAGAATGCCATTTTAAATCGTCAATAATAGTAACTGAAATCAATTTCACAAACATGACTAGTAGTTTGATACTGTTAATTGCATTGGAGTTCTCAGAAAAGAACATTTTGGAGACTGGATCTCTTCCCGTCATCAAGTATGAGTTTTTACTTCGTTTGTCTTGTTAAAAGAAGCTATTCCGAGTCTCTGGATTTCTTACGACTCAGCTAGCCAGTTGCTTACGACGTACTTTTCAGTATTTGTTTACTTATCGATTTATTTAAGGACATTTTGTAAACCGCATCTGTTATGGGCGTGCTGTCTCGAATGCTACAGCCGTACTGAATGAACTGGGAAGCGCCTGTCAGAAGGAACGGAGGGAACACGCAAGGAGAGCCTGTCACGAGAGTCGAGAGTCACGATAATCGACCTCGGATCCGAGATTGGAATCCCTGTTCTGTTAAGCATAAAACATGACTGTTAACCACTGCACTGAGATTGACATTTTGTGTCAATTGGACTCAAATTATCCAACCCGAAACTGGTCATATTGACTTATATATTTTTCATGGTTTTCCTCAGTCTTGACCGCCTCTATGGTCTAGTGGTCAGAGTTCCTGGCTATAGATCCAGAGGTCCCGGTTTCGATTTCCGGCGCTAACATATTTTCTGAGAAGTACTGGGTCTGGAACGGAGTCCACTCAACTCGTGAAAATAACTGAGGAGCTATTTCAAGGAAATGGCGGCTCCGGTCTAGAAAACCGAAATTAACAGCTGTGAGGATTCGTTGCACTGACCGCTTGACACCCTCTATCCGCTAAAGTTGGCACTAACTTCGCCGACAAGCGGCGGTCGCTCGGTCGGTATAGTTCGCTTGAGGACTAAAACCACGGAGTTCTTTTTAGTTCCTCAGTCTTACTACGGAAATTCTGGAATTGTACCTTAAAGCTACTCACTAACTTTTCCTTACATTTGCTTTCCAATTTAACTCTCGCCGTCAATCCAAATTTAACGCTGTACAACCTGTATTATCCCCACCCTGGAAAACTCTATGCTATAAAGATTAAGATTGCGTTTAAATTATTGTGTTGTTGCCTTCAATTAATTATGCTCCCATTGGTTTAATTCCGGGGACGCGGCCTGCGGTGCTCATGGGATAACGAACAACGGTGGAGAGAGAAACCATACAACCCAGCCGGGAATCGAATTCCTACTGACTGAGCTATCACGTCTCCTGGAAGTTGGTGTATTGGATTTGACTTAAGTACATAAACTGGATGCTTACTTATATTTCCTCAATTGTTTTGCTATACAAATAGCAAATTAATTGTGTTATTAGAATCCTGAGATTCAGCTCGGCTAACACGAAAACCCATTGTTCACAACGCTCCTGAGCCAGTTCCATCCACATTCCATCCTGTTTTCGTAAGATTTATCTTAATGCCATCCCTCCATGTATATCTCGGTCTTCCAACTAATCGCTTGCCAACAGTACCCCTCATTAATTCTGTATGAATTTCTCGTCTCTGCCTTCCTCGATTCATGTGTACTACCCTGACAATACTAGTGGCCCTGAACGAACTTGCACAGCATCATATATGCCATGAAGCAGAGGGAAAATGGGAAGCTTCAGAACTCGTGGCACTCACCTTATCTTATTGGGATAAATCCTTCCAGCCTCACAACAGCCCTGTCGTCGACTCAGCCTCTAATAGAAATGAGTACCAGGAATATTCTTGGAATGTTCTTGGGGGTAAAGGGCGGCTGGCGCGTAGGTCTGATAACCTTGCCGCCATCTATGTGCCGGTTGCCTAGAAAATGTGGGAATCACAACATCTCACAACCCTATGGACCTCCACGGCCTGTCAACAGGGATACCTTTACTTTTTTTTACAACGTTTCGGAGACTGGATTATCCGGACATAAGGACATAGGGACATAGGGACTACCTCTGTCGACTGGCCCCAGTTGAATATGTTTTACCTGAAGACGGAGACAGAATCCAGTCTTCGAAACATGTTTTGAAAAATAAACAAGACGGTCTTTAGTTAGAGATTAGACAATGGTTAATGTCCAGAAACATAATATTTGTACCAATATACCATTGTCACAAACCTTTAGATCTTAATTACAGGGATAAATTATTCGCTATTCCTGGTTGCATATGGGTTACTAATATTAAAACCGATCTTATAGAAATAGGGCGTGAACGTGTGAACCGAGCAGAAATGGCTCACAAAAAGGGTTCAGTGACGATCTTTGCAGTGTTGATCCCTCTGGTTGTTTCAGTGTAGACAACTTCTTGACTAACTGAAAAAAATTGTTAACTCTTCACGTAAAGATAAACACCATAGAGTTATTTATTTCATTAGTTACTTAGGCAGATGGGTAGGTGAGTAGGTAGGTAGTTACACAATGAAGTGGCGAAAGGAAAGAGAGAAAGCGAGGTATACTCGCTGAAGCAACGCAGCAATTCCGTATGACTGATGGGACAAGAAACACCAGCTACTTCTCTAACACAGTCGACTTCTGTGACGCACGTCATACTGGTTCCCCGAGACATTTGGCGCTAGATGTTAATATTACGAAACAAGCAGTGTCCTGTATTTTCTTGAGCTAGGCAGCAGAGAAGTTGCTCCAGGCTCGAAGGTAGATCTGATGCATCAATTGCCTTCCGCATGGACACGTGAAGTAGAATAACTACGAACTTCTTTTTAGCCTATTTTCCTTATTTTGAAAAATGAAAGGACGCTCATGAGATCACTTCGCTGACTGTCTATTTACTTCTTCGTTTTTGTCCAGCTGTCTTTGTATCCCACCATAATTTTGTTAGGAAGCTTATGAGATCACCTTACTATCTGTGTATCCTCTTGATACTGCTAAGTAACGAGCCGTTAATAGTTAGTATTATATAAAATAGTATTTGTTTGTTCGTCCAATCTCCCCTAATTCCCCCGTTTTCAATGGACCCGTGTCGTACCAAAGGAAAGTAGGCGATTAATTCTTCCCAGTACTTCTTATTAGAACACAAATTTAACGAGTCGAAGTTTCGTTTTTCAGGGCTGTTGTTCAGAATGGGCTGTCTTAAGATGCTGGACGAACACAGTTTCATAAGAAATTATTTCCAAGTTAGCACATTGAGTTAATGTCAGTACTTAGGCTTTCTGTACGGAATGATATTCTAAGTCAAAGATCTAAGATTGTGGGAGTAAAGGAGCTATACATTGTAAGTCTGAAGAATGTGACAGAGCAAATATTTCTATTATGCCTTTCGACTCAACTACAGGCGCTATAGGATATAACTGATCGCGTTTTGTGAACTTCAGTACAAAAATCACACAATTGCCTGTCTTAGCGCATAATTGTCATGAGTCCCAACCTGACAGCCATGCGAACCCACTCTTTGGATGCGAGTAATACTAGTGAAATTCGGTGTGGTGCCCCAATTTATGTATGACGATAAATAATACTTTTTTTGGAAACCGGAAAATTGCTCTAAATATTTAGAAAGCTGATGAATAATTGTAAGATGACCACCAAAAATTGTGTAATGACATACTAACACACACACACACACGCATGTGTGTATTGACAGTAGGAATCTGTATACTTAATTTCAAAACCTACAGCACTGAACTCTTCGTAACACTAAATGACGAGTTCTTTTGATACTTATTTTTATGAGACTAATGGCTCAGTTTTAGTTTTCCTGTGTTTTAAAGCAAAACTATTTCGTTCAAGCTTGTTATTACAACGCATGTCGGAACCAGAGTGTAAAGAAAATATGAGAAAATTAGAATGGGGAAAACGATGATAGGGGTTTGTGTATGTGGGCGTATAGGTAGAGAAAATGAGATGGAGAGTGAAGGACAAAATAATTTTGAATTTGTTGAAAATCACGTGAACATTCAAAACCACGCCCCTTCTTTTGAACGTTGTCTGCTGGGTCGATACAGCCAACCGCAGCGAACTGGCTGGCGGCAGCAGCCGGTAGTGCGCTGTGACCGTGTGGCCTTCCTTCGCACGTCTTCGTCTCCTTGACAGCGGAATGATCCGTTCTGTGCCTCAGTGCTCTGTAAACATGGTTATCTTGCATAACGTGTTTTGACTTTGTGTCGTGTACCGCTACATGTAGCTGAGTGTGGCTGGTTAGAGTTAGGTTAGCACAGTACAGTCGGAAATTGTACTGTATAGAACTAGAGTGTTTTGATTGTGTTGTACGTGCAAACGTTTTTTTAAGAGTGTTACAGAAATGCTATCGCGGTGGTATGGTGGATATGGCTGTTCATTCTCTTACGTCGATTGCTGCTGTATTGTCAGTACACGTGGCGCTGACTTCTGCATCCTCTGCACCCTCTTCACCCTCTGAATGATAACGGCTATGGATACAGGCGATCCGCCGGGTATGTTCATTACTGAACATCTGTCATGTCTCTCTCGTAGTCAAAATCATAAGATCACAGTAGTATTCTTGGATTTTATTCACTTATTGCGTTGTTTGTTATAAAATCAGATGATTGATTGTAAAGTACATATTCATTACTGTTGCTTGCATTTGTGAGAGTAGATATTTTTCGTTTCAATAACTGCGCTTGCAATATGTAGTCATCATAATCCTCACCATCGAAACTTGTTTTTATGAATCTCAAGATATCTTATTATCTTAATTGCCATTTTGCCCCTCCTAAGTCATGTTCCTTTATTTGAAATGAAATGCTGGTCTCAGTACAGGCTTTCCAAATGACTTCTACAGATTTTAGGACAGTCGTTTTATGTTGTGTTAGATAAGGTAGACTTGGAATTGATGCTCATGAAAAGTGCAGCTTTGTTTCCAAACAGTTAACTAAGCTTCTTCTCGTACACACATCCTTAACTGGATGCAGTGCTGCAAAAGATTGATTGTTGCTGATAACGTGATTATGCAGAGTATGCCGTCTTTTTGTATAAATTTCATAATTCTACCGGAGTTTTTATTTCGATATGGGCAGGTATGCGAGTTCAGAATGTGCTAGTCCGGTTCATCCACTTTAACACCGGAAGCAAAGAGGTTGCACCTTTATTCATCGGAAAGAGTGGGCAGATAACAGCTGCACGCGGTGGTGAGCATTCAACGCTGTCTCTTGACCCACAGAAACCGTTCTTAGTTTTGGGTAGTTATAAATGAAGGGATTGTCATTTAACGTGTAAAACACATGTAAGAGAATGAAAACAGGCACATTTTAGAATTAAATTCAAACATAATCCTGGTTTAAATTAAGGCATATGCCTTAATACATAATAAAAAATAGGTATATATTGTGGCACACCATATTAAAGCATTGTCCCTTAAATAACATTTTTATACTGTTATTTTAATGTCGATCAGGAAGACAATAACAGGTAATATGCAGTGTTGTTTAAATCTTTTGCTATTAGTCTCACACGTAATCTTCGATCTGAGCGCACCAAGGTTCGTACTCTGTCCATATGTGCATCTGTCGTTTGTGTTCTTGGCTGCTCACTTCTTGGGTCATCTTGCACATCTCTCTCTTCCTTGAACGGTCTGTGTCGTTAAAAAAAACTCGATTTCTTCTTCGCGTATTCACCATAAGCCACTGTTAATAGGGCTGACGTTTCACTAGCACTTCACCAATCTTCACACAAAACTTTAAGTTTATCCACTGCTCCAGATTCTTGTCGCTCATTTTTCTGCCAACAGTATTTCACGGACACGTACTGATTTCTCTGTTGCTTAGGAACGAACGACTCATTTGTTCTGTGGCTCATGTAAGCGCAAGTTGGAGCGTGTCCAAACGTGCTTGGGTACATGAGTTTACCTGACTCAACACCCCAGCGACACGCTGAGCCATTCCGGGAATTAAAATCGTCGCACCTTGTATTTACATATTCAAAAATGAATATGAAAATTGTCCAGGTGAGAAAATCGTAAAATGAAACGAATCTGATGGACATGTCTCAGCAGGAGTTTTCGCCGATATTTAAATATGTCAGTTATTTCCTTGCAGTCTCGTAACTGTTTAATTACAACCTTAATATATATTAAATTATTACAAGGACGCTGTTCTGCCCCACCGTTCGCATTTATAAATACATTCTATTACCTAATTTGGACCAAATTTTCAAACTTCAATGCATAAATATTTCTTTACAATCTTGACCAGAGTTCTCGAATCCGATGTCGCAGTCGTTGACAGTGGTTGTACTTACTTGTTCAGTCATCACATTGAGCACCCGAGTTAACGAGGGGTCACCTTTCCATATGGCATAATTTTGAGTTTGGGCTCTGTGACTTCATATCTTGCGAAATGTGTATCTGTTTGCGTCATCACGGGGCACCATAGCTTGCGCAGGTTAATTTATTTCGCCTGAACTCCCATAGATATTTTAAATTAAGTTCATGATTTAAAATCCTAGAACGAAAAGAAATTATGTAAAAATTAGGAGAAACATGAAACATAATAAATAATATAAAGGAAAATGAATAATAATACATAATACTCACCCTTAGACATTTCACTCCATAGTTAAAAGAGACACCGTAAAAAAACGAATACATTATGCGATATCCTTGCTTTACAATTTATCACTAATAATCTCACCTTTAAAGAGAAGAGGAGGAATAAAGAACAGTGGAGACTGCTTGTAGAGGAGGCCAAGACTCACCCAAGGCTGTAGCGCCTAGTGGTAGGTAGGTAATATTACTTGCATCGGGAGGTCGAACTTTGGTCCTGTTGCCACCAGCTTTACTTAGTGTTTCTCTTGAGTTCTGTCAGTCTCTTCATGTGAATGTCGTGACCGTTTCTGCCACCTTCCAAATATTTCTCTGTTCGTTTTACAATGTCATCTTCCCATTATACTCAACGCTATAAACCAACGTTGAAACAACGTCCATAAATGAGTTAAAATCAATTTCAGGTTTTTTTTTTTTTCAAATGCTAGTGGAGAGGGGTGGCCACTTCTGGCCTATTGTACCAGCCCCAGATGATAGGTGAAGGTGATTGTGGAGCATTTGGTGGAATGAAGATTGGCAGGGAAAACCGAAGTACTCGGAGAAAACCCTCCCCAGTGGCACTTTGTCCACTACAAATCCCACTTGACCAGACCCGGGATCGAACTCGGGCCGCCGCGGTGGGAAGGAGGTTCTTTATATCGTCCAGGGTTTGCTCGTGGCTGCTGTGCTGTTTTCACTGACAGTTATGTTCTTGACGAAGCCAATCAACAGCATTGACTTTTATCAAGCTTATACTGCATGAAGGCAGACTATGTCTTTCTAGCGCGAGATCGAACTTCCAGAATCAGTCGACATGAGTGTTATGCTTTGTTTTTACGATTAAAAATTATTAGCTCCAATGTTATATAACCTGTATGAGGAAATTTTGTCTGTTCAGCAGCCATTATATCCAGTAAAAGTGGAACAACTTTCGACATTTGAGAAAACTAGACGTTCCCGGAGAACGTATGGCATATATTCATCGTCGATAGTACCAGCATGTCGACAGTGTGAACTTATGAGATACGAGTGCCGACAATATTGCCAGTGGAAGTGGGTCCATGACATGTTGTATTAGTTCTCTGTTTAACAAAGGTAATCAATTAAAAATCGAGGCTAGGTATGTGGAATCTGGTGAAAATAGACCGTAAACATTCTTCCAAATATGTATGAAGCTATTTCCCCCATTTTAAGAATTAGAAACATGGAGAAGATGCGAAACTTTGAGGTTAAGGCTCGTAAACGAGAAGTTGTATGAATTCATACTAATAGCAGTTATGCGCACAATAAGTCTGTACAATTATGAACTTATAGCTTCTGCTAGACGTTGTGTAGTGTAGAGATGGAAATATTTAGAGATCAGTAATCTGCAAGTAATATTGAGCACCCACTAACATATCCCAAGTTTGTGTTTAGAAACATTCTGCTTTATTCAGGTGACCGATGTTTGGTAGGCTGTAACTGACAGAGACAATTTCAGGAACTTTCGGTCACTCCTTATCATCCTCCTGAATAGACTGTTTGGCCAACGAGGTCATGTTATCTACATATGTTCCACCTGTCGGGCCAGTGTCGCCCACTCAGGTATGTTCATTATGTACGTATTTGTGGGGCGGAGGGAGCAGACGGATCTGAACAGAATACAGCTCAGACTGAAAATATCGGTGCAAAGACGTTCTCAAGCGCAATTGACCTTGAATACGTTACCTTGGAAATGAGGTCTGTTGGTAGTGGCTCAATACAGAGCAATCACGAAATGCTTGCGACCGACAAAGCCGGTTGTGACAAAATCGAAATGTACCGTTATTTTTTGGTGACACCACCTGTGCAGTTTTATTTAGGGAGATTGTCTCTATAAATTGTCAAAATTTATTCAAAATCGTTCGAGCCGCTTTCTAGAAGGCCACCATTCTGTGTTTTGGAAGCTATTTGAATGGTCCATGTTTTTGCAGCTGAAATGTTAATATTCACCAGGTACCTACCGTAGCTTTTGAATACCGAAAGTGAATAAAACCTGCCCAACCGTTCAGGCTTAGCGAGGCGCA